ATTCAAGTGAGGTGGCACTATAAATGATACCGTTGGAAGCACGGTGCAACAGAACACAATACATCTCCAGATCGTACGCAGGCATACACACGTAGAGACTATTATATAATTAGTGAGCGCCTGATACGGCACCTCCTGTAAATTCCTCAAAATTGTATTATTTAATGGCAATAGTAATGATTGTATAAATTGTGTATCTTTGTACAGTACAACGCTTTAAAGTGCCCTATTCTAGCTAGGTAGGGCGCTTTGTCCAATGTTATATATATATATGTATTTGTTTACCCTTTGGTATTGGCAGAAGTGTGGAAATTTTTTTAACATATCAACAGTTCCCTCCCCTTAATTTTATTTATGTTGAGCTTTTGTTGACCAGGTGTATGCTTGCATGTTTGTTTTTGAATAGATCATCGATATGCGTAACCGTCAAAGTCGTCTCTGTCATACTTTTGATGGCAATAGAAGACTTCGTCCTCGAAATCTCAGGAGTGACGGCCCTCTGCAACGAACGCAGCAGAGCGTAAACAATGGTACAAACCAGTCGGCATAAGGCATAGGGGCAATAACTCTTGCGACAGCAACAAATTCTTGAAATATGTTCTGGCTGCAATTGATAAATTAATAATACATGTATTGAAGGCAAAGGGGAAACAACTCTTGCGTATAGTACAGGCTGCAATTAATAAGTAAATAGCAATATAGAAAGTATTGGGGATAAACTTTCGCTTGTAGTACAACAATAAACGCTAGAATATGTTCTTGCTGTAAATAATAAATTAATAATTTCAACTTAATATGGAGGACAAAGGGGAAACGACTCTCGCGTAAAGTACAGCAACAAACAGATATGTTCTAAATAGAGAAAACATCATCATATGGTCAAAAACGCACACTTGCATATATATAACTCTAAATGTCACATTTAACTTGACATTTTTATGTACATGTAAATATTGAAAAAATGTAAAGAATACAAATTAAATATGAATGTATACTTATTTTTTCCCTGTCTCAACGATATCAGCATTCTGAATGGTTCAATATATCGATCTATGAGGATCAATATCAAACACCATTCAACTTATAAGATAGTTATCCGATCCAACGAGACAAAACAGTTGCAAACAATGTTAGCTTACGTTGTTCACGGAAATCCAGGTGCTTTAGAAAGCATACATACTATGATATTCATATCAATTTAAACATGTTATTTCAGATTGTTCACTTTATTATAATAGTATCAATGCTATTATCAAAACTGCAAGCGAATTGTTAAATTTATTCATTACGGTTTTGTCACGAAGAAATTAATAACTTTTAAACATTGAAACAAAATGTCGTAGTTATTTCAGGATGGGTTTGTTTTCTAGTTCTGTTTTTTATTAAGTTTTATTCCTTTTCCTACACAGGGTTTGTGACGTCACCCAATGTATTTTAATTAGAAATAATTGCAGTACCGCAATATACACAAAAGTGTACCATGATGCAGAAAAGGACATTACAATGTAGCGCTTTACAAAAACGAGGTTTACATGCTTCAAATGTGCTTGGTTGCCTTCGTCGTCGTAGATGTTAACCACGAATTTTGTAATCCCTCTAAACGCACTTAACGACGAAACAATCGAGTGAGCTAACATTTCGTTATCTGTTCACTTTACAGTGTACATGTCCCTACAAATATCGCCACCAATGTATTGGCTAGTCTGTCCTACCTTCTACAGGTCACCATCCTCAGTTGTGAGGCAGATACGATATGTGTTGCAAGATTGGACAAACTTAACTATCACACGATAGAGTTAACTTTATCATTTTTGTAAAGTGTTCCAGGAATACAACATGTCTGTAAACTTTTTCCTGTTCTTGTGTTTTTTCTATGGATACGATAGATCATACGGGGAGGTACTAGATCCAGACAATCAACCCCGACAATGGCAAGATCTAGTTACATTCGTTAACCAGAAAATCGGTAGCATGGAACATCTGATGAACATTAAAAATGAACGCCTCGACCAATTGGAAAGTAAATTACGTGCACAGGAAACAGAAATATCATCACTGAAAGAGTTAATGCTTCAGAAGGATACAATTCTGAGCAATCTGGTAAAGCAAGTTACGGATTTAAAGAAGGGTGAAATTATGAACACGATTTCCGATACAAGTATTGAACATCTGGCCCGCGCGTCATCATCCACCTCTGTCAACAGTACGTCAGACGTCACAGACACCCCTGATGGTGCCCGAGTAGACACTGATACACATACAGCCGGTGATAGAATGGGAGAATACAACACCAGACGCCAACAAGATGCTCTAAGCGATGTAACTATACCAAAACAGTATAACCGTAAGTTTAATCATGAAACCTGTATTGATGTTCATATATGTTATCCTGCTACAGAGTGATTTACATGTATATGTATTGGTTGTATACATTGTATATCTATGTATTGTAAGCGCTTTAGAGTGGCTTATTCTAGCTAGATAGGGAGCTAAATGAAATGTTGCATCATTATCATTATATATGGGAACATTTACAATTGTGATAGCGATATGAAAAAGATTTAACATGCAAATTCAATATAATTTGCTTTAAAGAGAATGTTCATCTGTTCATCACAATATGCACGATGTTTGTGTATAATCCGTCTTCATATACATTTATTAAATAACAAAAGATTCATCGTAGGTAATCTCTGAAGTTATTATCCATATTGAATTACTTTGAATTCATACTGCAATATATCTTCTTCCAATTTACAGGTGTAGCCCCACCTACACCAAAACAAACCGTTGCTTTCCACGCCTACCGCACCTCATCTATAACCCTAGGGACACAAGGAGGATCTGGACCATGGAGACGGATATAGCCCGGCTGACGGGCTCTATACGGTACCGGAGTCGGGTACCTACGTCATCACATGGACCATGTTTGCTTATCATCACAATGCGTACCAAAATGTATTGGTCGTAAACGGAGCGACAAGGGGAATGTCTTGGACAGATTCAGATGAAATCGGTGACTACCATCAAACAACAGGAATCACAGTTCTGACGTTGAAACAGGGCGATCATTTGTTTATTCGTATGGGTCAAATATATCATGGGAAAATCTTCAGTGACAGTACTTATTCACGACCAACGTTTTCGGGTTGGAAACTTGATTAAAGAAAATAGCGATGCGATTGTTAAATCTGTGATATTACAACAGAACCGATAGCCGATGGTTATTTTTTATATTGGAAGTGACCTTGATGAACACGGAGTGCATTTTACATCATAAGTACATCTAACTGTGAGCTACGAAAACACCAAAGCATTCCATTCCCCACCAAGAAAAAAAACTCTAACCAGAGTTGTCGTTCCTTACACTCATTACGAACGATAACTCTGGGTAGATATTGATCTTTTTCGACATAGCCGTTACAGATCGTTTTGGATAAATGATGTCATTACATTTAACAAGTGCAGAGGGATATTTTTTTATATAGTTCCTACAATTGAGAAATGAACAAACCACAACCTCTGTATTTGGAAATGGCGACGGTCTCAAGTCACTTATATTTACACGCAAGTTGAAACCAACACAACATGTCCATCACTATCCTCTAAAACAGAACAGTAACTGCGTAACACCCACGAAACTTTTGAAATTACGAGTTACCTCCCGTTGACCAATCAGCACGTGTATATAATCGGTTATTTTATAGAATTATTTCTTCATATTATGTTTTAACAATGTGTTAGTCACAA